TACCCCATTCGAACGGTGCTCCACTGAAGAGGATCCGAGTCGATAAGACGACGAAGGTGTCACATCGAAAGTAGGAAAGACTGTGAACATCGACTCAAATCACCGACTCTGAGGAAGACGAAGACGTTGAAACGTTGGCCGAATAAAGTTTATTTTACCAACCTCGTGTTAGCTCATCAAGGAGAGAATCTGCTTTATGTTTACAGCAATGACTAAATGTGCTTAGTGCAATGGAAGTGCATTGCACTTTAGTGCGAACAATTTCTGGTTCGATTTCCTTCTTCTGTTTTGGCGAAGAAATGCCTAGCGACGACCGGCCATCCACTTTACGATTGGTCAGGCCCGCTCGGATCAGGTTCACATTTAAGGTGAAAGCAGAAGCAGGGGGTGTGTTCACAGAAACATAGGAAACTGACATGTTCGTCGAGTGAGGTTCTTCAAAGCTGTGCAATGCTATTAGTTACTTTGAGGCACTCATTCCTTATACAAATATTATAATACAGGCTTTACTCGAATACTTGAATGACAAGTTTTTGACGAGTGGTGCAGCTTTCAATACATTTTCCATTCATGTCTTTTTCTCTCTATCATTGTCCATGGTGAAGTGGTCTTTTCCATTCAGTCTTTCTCTCGCTATCATTGTTCATGGCGATGGTGGCCTCTTTCAAGCATACTGAGGCTCACTCCATGATTCACAAATCGTTACCGAAAAGTAAGGATTGCCCAATTATTTGGATACCTCGATGCCCATTCTTCACAGGTGCTGCTGGATATTTGGCATTGGTCTGTTCCTGTTCTTTCTTTCTATCATCGTCCAAGATGTTGATTTGCTTGGAGTACAGCGCCATGTACGATTCTGCAAATTGTTCGCCAATGCAAATACAGCCAGCGGGTTCACGAGAGTAACAAACCTGTCCATACACTATGACAATATAATATTCGTTTTTGAACAATATTAAAAGACTAATTGCCCATTTTTTGTGACAACTTTCTTTCAGCAGAACGAAGGCACATCAGCAAAATATATCATGGCCAGAGCCCTCAAAACCTACTCTCTCAGTTTGGACTGGGATTTAACAGCAGACTTATTTGGGACCAATTTTTTCAATCCATACGAGGGAACGCTCATTTACGGCTATTCCGGGATCCCACGAAAAATTGTCTCGAGCAGAATTCAACGACATTGGAGCTGAAGACGAAAAAATCAAGCGATAGGCGAATCAGTAATTTCGAATATTTTCGTGGATGGTGGGGTGGATACGAGCAAACGATTCGAATGCAAGAATGCGTATTTGTGATCATACTCTGAGCATTCACTTCTGATTGCGGTTTGTTGAACCGGAATTTTGTCATGCTGTCAGACACCTGACCTATCGATCACTTTCTGTCATTTTTGCCCATAAAAACACTTTATAAAGTCATCAGTACCTTCGTTTTAATAATCTCTCTTCATTTCCTCCCTCCCTCTTTCTATCGCATGCTTCTTAGCTGATGTTTTTTCGTTCGTTGTATTATGCATTTTTTTCATGTCGGTATGCCTTTCCTTCTGCATTTTCTCATTCTATTGTCACTCTCTTCAACATCTTCTCTCTAATTATTCGATTCATCATCTATTTATAATTGTGTTGTTTGCATGTTCAATATTCTCAATAGGAGATCTTATGCAGATACTCACAGGATTTGTGAGCTTTGTGGTACTTACATTTTGATCGATTTTCATTTCATTTCATACTGCCCGTCTTTCACATCTGCTGTGCCGATCCCAGTACTTCTCGAATTTTTCTCGATTTCGTCATCCACGAAGGTCTTTTAACTATTACGTGTTTCAGTTTCCACTTCAGGATTTCCTTTTTATCTCGAGTGTCGTAGAATGTTGCTCGCGTCGATTATTCCTGGAGCCATGAAATGCCGGACTAAACCGTTCCCAGTTGGATTGCAAAGAGTAGTTTTTACCCGAACAAGTCCGTTACTCTTCTTCCAACCCCAAAAGGATGAGAGGTTTGGTGCGCCCGGAAGTGGGTCGAACAAGCGCTATGCTCGTGAATCGCTGTCACTATCACTATGTTTTCCACACTCTCATATAGCATCACATAATATCTAATATTGTGTAGTGTTATTAATGACATTTTATAATATTACTTAATAACCAATATATGTTTATATTGTCGAGCTTACATGAGGTAGATACGAGATGTTTATTCGGCTACCGTTTCCACGTCTTCGTCTTTATCAGAACCGAAGATCTTTGTCGATGGCCGACAGTTGTTCCTCTTCTTGATGTGGCGTCCTCATCTTGCATCTAACCGGATCTTCCTCGTCTTGTGTGAGCCGAGCATACTCGGCGATGCCCTTTTATACAGGGCGGTTGTTGTTGATATGATTATCAGTTGATGATAATTTGTTTTTTAACTGATAATACACCTTGCAGCGAAATCATCAGCTGATAGTGATATCAACAAGAACCGCCCTGTATAAAAGGGCATCGCCGGGTATTCTCGACTCATTCGAGATGAGGAAGATCCGGTTAGATGCAAAATGAGGACGCCACATCGAGATGAGGAACAACTGTGGGCCATCGACAAGGATCATCGGATCAGATGAAGACGAAAACGTCGAAGCGTTAGCCGAATAAGCATCTCGTATCGACCTCGTGTAAACTCAACAATATAAACAAGTGTTGATCATTACAGTACCGAGGTTAAATGACGGTCGGATTCGAAATTATTATTTAATAACTTCATTTTGTTTATTCCAGGCAGGCAGGCATGGAAGCAATAATTCTGCGGTTATAAGATTACCATCGTTACCATAACTTTGAGTTTTTCCTTTCATGGTTCAGTTATTCGCTGAAAACTTTCACAGTATCATTTACAAAATTATTAGCTTTAATATAGTTCAATAAAAAATGGAAGTGTTATGAAGTGCTGTGAATATGGTAAGAAAAAGGAGAACAATGTGCTTCTTACTAAGACATTAGAAAGCGCCTTTCCTTTTCTTTCATCAGAAATGGTATTAGTCTCTTTCGTCACACATCATCTATCAAGCAGTCACACTATAAAGTCCCACTGTTCAGTGATCATCAAAAAGTTCATGACGATCCTCCAAACTATTCCACGAGTAAGGTCTACTAATCTCCTTTACATATTTAGTCTGAATGCTCCTGTACGTAGTAAACGAAATCAACGATAACCATCACAGTCGCCACCTACCGCCTACTGCTGCTCTTCCGCCGCCTATCGCGGTATTACCGGCTACCGCCTATCGTCTCCCCACCCCCACCAACCCCATAGGCACGAATTTCGCCATGTTTTCTGTTCGCTTCTATGATGATGTACTCATTCTTCACGAATTTGCATTCAAACTCCACTATTCGTATTTACCAGCTGTTTTAAGCAAAAAACCATGCATTTTATCTTTTATTTGCTTCACTTCCTGAGAAGCTCAGAGCGATCAACCCTGTTTTTTGAGTTATCGATATCGATTCTGACTTGTTTCACTTCCACAGTGGCCCAAACTAGTACGTAAGGTCGCAATCACTGCCATTTTATTAGCCTAAGTTATGAAATGAGAATCCTTTATTCCAGCTATACCGGTTACCCAATCAGTGTTTCGGTACGTGGAAATAATCTAATTACTTTTGTCTCTAGTTTAGTTAACCTTCTAACCTTATGGTTTCCACGAGAACTTTGTCCATAACGTCGTAGAAAGTTTTTTTTTCTTGTTTTGCTTCCCGACTTCATTCAATACGAGAGAAAATTACAGCGTTTGATAAGCATCTTTATGACATCATAGGAGAGAAAAAATTGAAAGCGGAACGTTTTTTAAAAATGCCACAAAAAAGTGGTTTTGACAAACAGTTGATTCGAAAGGCTAAAATTAACCTTGCAATAAGAGCGTATAAGACATTGTGGACTTTAGACGAGTTAAATTTAACTCGTCATTACCTATTCCACCTGATTAAATGACGTTAGCTTTTTCTCTCACATCGTTTTCCTCAGAGATTATTGCTCGAGATCAAGGACTAACTATTAACTGGAAGGAGACATAGTTGGAATTCATTTAGGCTCAACTATGAAGGTTATTATTTTCTTCACAGCAGAAATGATTCTTTGGATATTTTATTGCTGCTTTAGTGAATGTCATCCAAATTACTGAGCTTTCAAATGGCTTAAAATCCTCAGGGCAATAAAGAATTCGGGCAAAGAATAACCGGAAATCAACAGTATCCGCCTTTTCCGACGTTGGTTTCACTCTTTTTCACTTCTTTCTTGATTTTTTTGGGACTCTTTCTAGAAAAGGTGCCAATCTTTCCTCAAAACAATCACTATTCATCGAATTTTTCTAGAATCTTTCGTGATTTTTATGTCCTATTGATAAGGGTACTGGCTGCCCTTTATGGGTTTCGTGGTCTGATAATAGTTCACGGTCCTCGAAAAGGTGATGGCTGCCTCAAAGTTTTCCCTCTGAAAATATTTTTCAGAAAAGAATAGCAGACAAAACATCACATCTTCATCTACGGTCATTCTATTCCATTCAATTCATTTTTTATCGATATCATATTCCTTCATGTTTTCCTTTGTTTTGTTCGTGTATATTCGTGTAAATGAGGGTTTCACATCAATGAAGAGACTCATGGTCGCTCGCCGTATCGAAAATTCTTTAGAAACTCTTTTTCTGTGCTCCTACCGTAATGTGATTTGCAAACTATGTTTTGGCGCATATTCTAACAACCACTGACTGATCACTTAAGTAGATCACATGTAGTGCCAAAATCAATCAATATCCATTCTTTACCTTACACACTTATACGTTATTAAAGTGTATGTTTTTTCAATAGTGCCTTTCTTTTTACATTCTTCCTTCGTACTTTCATCGCCTTCTCATCAATGAATTTCCTGTACTTTCCTTGTTTCATGGTAAATAAATGTGCTCGTTTGTCTCGTTTTGTGTACGTGTTTTTCTGTTTTGGCACCGATCCAAAAGTTTTCATTAGTTTCAGGATGCTCAATAGTAAGCTTCGCAAATTATTCGCAAAATTCAACGTCGACAAAGAAATGAAGATTCAGTCGGTATCGAAAAAGAAACATCAAAAGAAAAATCACGTCACGTATGAATTTCCTGACAATGTTTGGTGAGATGTCATTTTCTGTCATGGATTAAAAATTTATTTAAAAAATTTAAAAATTTAAAAATTTAAAAAATAAAAAAAATTTAGATTATTCTAGTCACTTTATTATGAATGTAAAACATCAGCTGTTTAGGCTGTGGATTCCCTCTCTTTCTTTGTTTCTTTCTCTCTCTCTCTCTCTCTCTCTCTCATGAAGAATTGATGAGCAGTATTTTTATATACAGAAAAAGAAAGAAATATTTTAATTTTAAACTCAACTATGTTCTCGGTCTGTCGCAATTCCTTTTTCACTATTATGCTTTTTTATAAGCACAAACCTTAGCTTACTAATAGTTTTGGTCAATATTTCAACTAGAGCTTTAAAGGTTACCGTACTAATCGGTGATTGCAGAGCGAACCATATATGGTCCGCATCCATCAGTCTTTATCCGAGTTCGTTTATCCTATATCCTTCATCCATCCTTTATTCTTGTATATCCTTATATTTTTCAAAAATTTCACATTTTATCCCTATGTTGTTACTGTAGTTGTATATTTTATTCTTGCAGTTGCATTCCTTTAGTGGTTTTGGTTACATTTTTTGCCAAATATTATACGATTGTATTGCTGCATCTGCTTACTGGAATTTTATAATGAAGGTTCAAACAAAGTAATTTGAAAATGTATTTTGACAAGTATGCATTGTCAGGAGTCTGATATTCGACTACTCGTCGCCATTCGATGTGGTAAAGTGGAGCCGAGTATGTAAGCAGTTCAAACGGATAACGGATAATCGAGTTCAACACATGTTATATTTGGATGTCTTACGTTTTGACATCACACAAATTCTGCCTAGAGGAACATTAGGAGATGGTGAGTTTGAATATAGTTAAATTCGGCTTATAATAGTTAAACCTGTTCAATATACGATGCATAGTGGAATAGAGCGATGTTAGTAGTAATCTAGTGGTTGACGTATGGGTAGTTCTGCAGTTAGAGCATAGAAGTAAAGAGAACGTATGGAGTTTACCTAAGCTTGAAAGAACTGTCAGGTTGTTAATAGTGCTATCCAGGTCCTTGGCAATCGTGAAAGTTACACCAATTTTTTGAAAACAACTTAATGAAAACACTCGTACTAGTTTAAAAACTGTTTTTTAAAAACGTTTTTTATTCAATGAAATATACTTAATATTGTAAAACCTATTACTATTACTGCTTACAACAACTAACGGTGAGAAAGTTATACTGGAGTAAGGTGATACGACTAATAAGGGTACGTTTTCTGGTTCAGATCGATTGCTTGCTTAACTAGATTGAGCGTTCTATATGTTTCATATTCATTTTTCTCCTTTACCAACCTCGTATAAACTGGACAATCTTGAAAAAATATGCGAAGCCGTTCAATTCTCTGATGGCGCTCGGCAATCCAATCAGTGATTAAATAACATATTCGTCTAGGAGCAGTAAAATACTGACTGAGTCGTTATTTGGCTTAGAATTTCATTTGTACGACCCATGTTGACATCTATTCCCTTGGGAGTTTTATAAAAGCAAAGTAACGACGCATTTCCAATCATCTCTACTGGAGCTGTTAATATCTATGAAAATAAGGGCTTACCTCAGTCGTAGAAACGTCAAATACGGCATTTTATTGTGTTTGACTCTGTGTGTGGTTTTACGGAAAGAATTTTCTAAAAATAATTGAAAGAAAGATTACTAAATGTGAAGCTAACGACTGAACAAAGACCACCAACGTTTTACAATAGATCTTGCAAAACTCCGGACCGCAGGTGTCTGCGGTGGAGAACGAGCGCGCTATTACCCTTTCCGGAGGCTATCACATTCACCACCACACCTATTCTTAGCGTTCTCTCCTCTCTGAGTAACCTACTTGTTGTACTCGCGGTAAAAAATAAGCCTACAACTGGTATTTGTATGCCTATTACTGCATGTTTAGTACTATAATTTGAATGCACTTTTATCTTACAATACAAAACTCTGCTGAAGACATCACTCCTTTTTATTTTATTTCACAAGACTCGTTATCACATATATTGTGCTGATCTCAGTACTTTTGTATTCGACTTTTCTCTGCATTCATCTCCCACAATGGTCTTCGAACATTTCGCTTGTTATTCCGACTGTTGCTTAAGGATTTCGGCTTCTTTATGAATGCCGTAGAATGCTGATCGAGTCACAATTTTGGTGAAAGCCCAAATAAGGCGTTTCCATGTAGATTGGATGAAGCGTTTTCTAAGAGCGATTCGAACTAGTGTCTTTGCTTCCTCACTGACTACATCACTAATCACTGCGTTACCCATTTTCAACAAAACATCATGTGATTTGATAATTTTTACTAACACATTAAGTCTACGAAACCACATAAAGCATGTGGTAACTGTTCTTTTCATTTATTTGTTGATGAAAGTATGTCGCTTCAACATTAGTGTAGTAGTAGTAGGTAATGCATCTGAATAGGAGCTGGATAGTTGGGGATTGAGAGAGGATGTCCGTTAATGACTGTGGGAAAAGCATAGCTCTATAGCATTATTTGGAAGGTTTTAATAGAGTAGAAAACACATTGAAAGGGGTCGGACCGTTAAAGGAACGATTACTCACTTTTTTAATTGGTTTTGTTGATGTATGAATCCGCTCAAATAGACAAGAACAACACCCAGCATATGTACTTCATCATGTTATCAGCGCATACTTGTAATAATTGTTCTGCACAAACGTCTGTGGCACATACCGATCTACTAAACTTTGCTGGTAAGTGAAATCAACGACCTGGTGGGATCGCTTAACAATGTATTCACTTTCTTACTTAATTTGTGACCTCTGATCGATCGGTCTGATTTATCGACTCCCAATCAATGTGAGCGCTCCCAACGGTTTCGCCTCATCGTGGCTGGGAAGAGTTCTTTGGTGTCGGGCTGCGAACGTACAGCACAGGGATTCATCCCTCGGTAAGGGCTACCAAGCTGAGAAGGAGTGGGCTATTTCTATCAGGAAGCCTAGCTAAGAGTAAACCAATACCAGGATCCACCACCATCTTAGTAGGAAACTAGTCGCGTGGTGTCAAATCTCTCTCTGGTCCATAAGGGTTACGACTGCCTGTGGTGGTGATGACCAGGGGCAGACTTTGGTCTCGGCTGACCTCGGAATCCCAGGGAACCACACTGGCTAAACCAGCAATACTCCGAAAATAGCACGGTCCGTCCAAGTATTTAAGTAAGTAATCAATGTGAGCAGCATCTATATCAACGTACTTCGTCATGATATCTCCACATTCTTGTAGTTATTCTGCAGAAACGTTTGACATCTCCACGAAATTCTTACTTCACTAAGGTTCTTCATTGGTGATATTTTCACTGTTAGAGTAAACTAGAGAGAGAAATAAAAAAGAAGGAAGGCGTGGAATACTCTTCCAAAAAATTTCATAATACTTTCATAAACATTGCTTTATTTCTAAAATGTAAATTAGTGATGCTTACATGAAGCGTTGAACGATGACCTAAATTAACAGATAGTAATTATATCACTGAGACTCATTCACCCACTTACGAGTGGTGGTCGATTTTTGGCGCCTATCATAGTGTGCACAACTTGTGGAACACTCTATGTCACACTTTAACTTATTACGTTTATTTTCAGGAGATTTTTTTCGACATCCGACTTGTAATCTGCTTGCACATCGTGAACATCGTTCTATTCTTCTAGCGGCTCATATACAGTGGACCACAAAAGAAGTGACAAAACTTCGTGCAGCCATTCAATACTTTGGCAGATCAGCTCATACGATAACGGTAGGCGATTATCAATCAATTACTAGTCGACAGATGTTAGGGATCGAATCTCTATTCGGTTAGAAAAGCCTAGTAAAACCATTAGAAGGCTGTGCACACGTATCTGTGAAATGAAAATAATTTCCGCCCACTGTTTGGCATTTGAAGAAGGTTTATTAAGTAGTGAATATTTAATTCTTATGAAAAGGAGAATATATGTTGAATATTTACTATTTGAACAACACTTGCCAAATATTTAATTAAATATGCACATGAAAGGCTGCCCATTTTTGTTCGTTCAGAATCTGTTTTTTTTCACTCATGAATGGGTTTTTACTCAGAGTAAGTTATAGAAAATTCTGTATTAAACTTGTAAAATTAAGCGAGGGTGTTAGCATACTGTTGTGATGGTGGTCGTCATGAGCACGGCATTGGTTCCATCCCTCTCCGTGCTCGCCAAGCCTCTTATCCCTCCGGATTCGGAGAATTGGTACTGAACTTGTCCGGCAAAAAATCACCCTGTGTAATCCAACTGAGATCGCTGTAGCATGGCTATCCCAGGACTCCAGTGAGAATCGTGTCGACCAGCATTATCCGACATCCAAGATGAAACGAAAATCCTCAAGCAGCGGCGAAAGCCACTGATAAAGTTGGAAGACTTTAATGGGCGGTAGGTGCGAGGTAACGAATCGAATTTGAGAAGTGCTGGGATCCCCACTGTAGATGTGAAGATGGGTCGTATAAAATAAGAAATAAAGGAAACATGCACAAAAATGATTATGTTAGCAATGGAAGGAGCATCGAATAAGAAAGCATGAGGACGACATTTGAACCGTCTTTTCTTACCGTTGTCTGCTCGTTACAAGCATACCGCCGACCTCAAACAAGTTCAACGTGGCATTTGGACCTAGGCGAAAAGTGGTGTCGTCTGGTTCAAATAGTCCGACGAGTGTTCCATTAACTGCGAGGTTATTTCTTTTTGGGCCGAGCGGTCATGTTTAAAGAAGACTACGCGGAAAGCTGCAGCTATAAAAGAACTCACTCCCAAGTTGTTGGACACTCGTCCACATCACCTTGAATGGGCAGCTCTACTCGCTGAACTAAAAAGATTGAATCTCACAGCACACTCTGACCAACCGCAACTGTTATTTGTAAGCCATCAAGCGTGCACATGAACATCGCAATGTCTACTTCCTGAGAACTGGGGAGCTGATCGTAACCAGCTACCACCTCCACCACAGTCAACAGCATTCTCGGACTGCATCCTTTATTCTATGCTTTGAACCACAGTAGCTTCTGCCCATTACTTGTTCTGGATGCAGAAGCATCACTTCTGTAGCATGAAGTTTAAGTGTTGCGTAGACCTCAACAATGCTTTAGCTAATTTTTTCAGGTAATAACGTTTGATATCCAGCGATGAGAGAAGTTACTCAAAAAATACTATGCTATGCTTGATAATATTGAAGAGCATACCACATACTGCTGTACTCGAGTCATGTTTGGAATAAATAAAATCGTAGAGGAAAATATTGTCAAGATCGGCGAGTACTTTGGATACATCCTAATATTCTAACATTTAGAGAATAAATTTTAGTTAAGTTAGAGGTCAACCAACTGCTTATTCATAAACAATCTGTTCGATCAATAACTTAATCCATGCCATTATGTTTGCTCACATTTAAACTCCTAATGACTTTCATCGCAAGGGTTTCAATCACTAGAACTTTATTAGCCAAATTGGGACTAGCGCAAAGTTAGCTTTCAGGGTAACAAATTACTGCGCACCAGTTCTGAAAGTTGGTTAAGCGGGGAATGTATAATTACGATCAAAACAGGAAATGAAATTATTCTAATCTTTTTTACCGCAAATATTTGAAACCTGATTTTTTTTTATTCTTCCGTTCAAATGAAAGAAAAAACGAGAAACATATTTACAATGTACTTTCCCTTTTGCCGTCCGTTCAATAAAAAAAGATAAAAACCATATTCTTTCAGTTCCAGCTGATTCCTTCCAGGAAGTAACTGTAGAGATGTCTAACTTAAAGCAAATTCAATACGAAAGTAGAAAAACCGAAACATTTTCGAGATTTCAGCTTGACGCATGTATTGCTGAGCTGTGCGTTGCCGGCCAATGCACAACAGACATATCGACATGGTTCGCCTTCCAAGCAGCAGCTGGAGGTGCGGATCCGATGCCGATGATGGACGGAATACAGGTTTGTATTATTAGAATCACTACAATTTTCTTCCTTTTTACGTTTAAAAATTGCCTAAGTAAGATAGTTGACTTCGAGGACAAAAGTCATATTCTGAAGAGTTAGTAGGCCCAGAAGGAGTTCAATATTTGGACCCGGTTGGTCACCCAAATAAAAGCCTAATCCACAGTCATTTAATATTTGCTATACAGTAACCAATAGACATCTGTCAAAGAAAGCAAACTGTGGAATTTGAAACTTGACTCTAATTCCTATGAACCAGGGGTTGGCGGAAGAATTCGGGCGCCGTGGTAGTGCTGGTCGGAACTCTAGAGAAAAAAGCTGTTCAGTCGTAAAGATCCATTCAAATGGACATATTACTGATGTTCACACTATTTCTCAAGATGGGGCATTTAAGAACTGAGAACTAAACAACTTGATATAAATGCAGTATGCCTTTGAAATTCCTATTCCAGATTCCTGGATGGTTGCAAGCAGATATGAAATTCAATCAGTCCACTTATCTATGTCAGACCGATACTGATTTACCGCCTTGGAATCCAACCACTCAGCGTATTCCGCTCGGTCCATTGTTTCCGAAAGCAAAAGAAGTAAGAGTTCTTTTCTTTAGAGCTTCTTAATCTCACTGTGCAAAATTTTTCGCTTCGGTGAATTTGCAATAGAAAATGCGACATAAACACCGGTTTATATCTTAGTTATGTGCAAGAAACACAATTTTCTCACTACTCAATATGTCAACTAGCGATGAAGGCGTGTTTTGCGCTGATCTATTTGTCATTTACTTGACACTTAACACTTGAATGGCCCGTCATCACTGGCTGGGCAGGTTCCAGCATATTCTCCACTTTTCGGAGATTTGCTGGTTAAGCCATTGTGATACCCTGGAGTCCGGAGGTCAGCCTGGCCAAAGCCTGCCCCAGGTCTTCATTACCACAGGCAGTCGCAGCCCTTGTGGATCAGAGAGAGATTTACCACCATGCGACTTTGATACCAGGACGGTGATGGATCTTGGTATTGGATTACTCTTAGCTAGGCTTCCTGATGGAAACGCCGGACTCCTCAGCTCGGGAGACTCTGTCAGGGGATGAATCCCTCGCTGTACATCGCAGTCCGACACCCAGAGACACCTCCCAGCCACGATGAGGTGGTAAACCGTTGGGAGGAAAATATAGATTTAGTGTGAAATTGTCTGCAAAACGTTATTAAAAAGATAGGAGGATGAAGCTTCTAGCATCGATCATGCCTTAGATTCCCTAGGCATTCGACTTCATAAAGCGTCGTTAGAAGAGATTAAATCTATCTATGTCAGGCCTCTAGATTCTCTTGCAAAACCAATCTATTATTTCTTTGCCGCAATTCCTCTAGATAAGTCTGGTACCAATTTGCCGACTTCGTATGGATGGAGGCCTCGGTGAGCCCAGGACGCGGGATAGAACTACGGACCATTTGCGTATTACAGGGCACTTCTAACCGCTAACACGCTTCACTCACTCCAAAACGCGCCATGACTTCAATAATATTATGTTGTTCTGTGCGAAATTTCCTCAATTATTTTAGATCACATTCCGTTGTACGGTACCACAACTGAGGCGAATGCGTCGCTTAGCGGTCTATCGTACACCGGCCACACTGATCTTCTCTCCTGAACAGCTGCAAGTATTCAGGCTTTCTATTATCGGTGCTCGAAATCGTGCACCGGCAACGCTGAAACTACGGCCGTTTCGTGAATGGCTCGATGCAGATCAGCTTGGCAATAAACTCTGCATACAATTCTCCTAAAATTCGCTGTAACGTCATCGTCAGCGGCTTCCTCAGTTCACAAATGGTTTTGTTTATTCTCATCCCAATATAAGTAACTTTATGTTCACTAGTTATGGTCCCACAGTATAGCAGTTATAGCGAGAAGCCAATGAATAGTCGTCACGAAGCCGGCGGTGACGTCATCACATATCGTGTACTTAACTTTGTCGAGAACCTCAAATTTTGCTATGTTAAGTTGATCGCACGTGATTTCCATTTCAACACTTAAGTGACTTGTTTCTCTACTTGTAAAAAATCGATTAATTTTTATATAAGATCGTTGGGATAAATTTGGGAGATCTCATCTCGACTGAGTGATCATCATTGCCTTACTAAGTAATTGTTTGTTCTTATTGTATTATTTTCGTAAATTTTCTTCTTTCTTACTGGCTATGAACTTGGACACTTGGATTCTAATAAAGTCTCATAATTTGAGCACCAACGGATGATGATTTGACGAGATTGCTGACAATACGTCCAAATTATGAGACACACTTTTCATACGACGGATCGATATTATTGATTGTCTGTGATTTTCGTAAGGATTTCGGATTGTGTCCGGGTAGTTCTGCATTTTTCACCTATCGAAATCATTCTATCCATATCTTTATGAGAGACACACTACGAATAAATATATTTATTGATTGTTTTTCTTACAGGATCTAATTATAACATATTTTATTGCAAGTATCGTCAACATTTATCTGTCCATCATTTAACATTCCCATTCGTTTCTGGGTTACGGTCGTTTTAAAAGGTCGAACAACTGCTGGAGATCGTTGAATATGGGCGGTGTGTAGTCATGGCACCTGCAAGGTGCAAGTCTTGATCGTCTTTCTGTCCATCTAAATTTTTACTGACTTGCTAAGAGTAATCAATATTGATTCTCTTTGGAGTCATTCTATTGATTTTATGTATATCAAGACTCTTTATGTTTTCGCTGCTATTTTATAAACGTGCTTGCCAAAGCTGTTACTGCAAATTGAGCTGATGAAGCGAGCACATGAGATGGTAGCAGCGAACAATGTAATAACCAAGTTGTCATTATTAATTATAATAATAACAGCAAGTTTTAGGCAGAAAAGTCAATTCAGTTTATATTTTCTACGTTCAACATTCTTTATACTCCCATATGCGTATTATCACAGTGGGGCGCGAATAGCACAGGCGGCAGGTGGTGCCGTCGATCAGGAAGCAAAGATCCTAGTTCTACCCTTGTCCCAACGCTATCCTCTAATTCATTTGGAAACGCTTTAGTCCGTATAGCTCCAAGATAGCAAGGCGAATTGATTGGATCCGCATTCTACGGCAATCGTAAAGGAGATGAATACCTTAAGCAGCAAGTGAAACATACGCGAGATGTTCGAAGACCATTGTGGATGTTGGATGCGAGGAAACGAATCGAATGCGAGTGCTGAGATCCATAATGACGCGTTGTGTAAAATGAAAAAATATAGTTTCCAGGATCGACTTTCTATTAACCTCAGCATTGGAATATGAATGCGTCGTTTTCTTGTTCAGCAATGCCCTTACGCGGCAGGGACGTTGATTGCATGAGTTCAGGTACGATATACCTGATCTCTTGTTAATAATTACGGAGATGAATATATTGGCGAAACGGGCAAACCTTTGTGTATTCGCATAAAAGAACCCCTAGATGGCAAACGAAAACTAAGACGAAGCACCCCACTAGGCACGCATAGGATACAAAAGCATAGCGGAGACGATTCTGAAGTAAAAGTCAATAGCCTTGCACAGGAGACTAAAACACCAGCGCAAAAACTTCTTGAGGCTTTTTGGATAAATGCCAAAAACCCTGCAATTAATAGCAAGGATGAATGCCCAGAGGTCATACGCGACCTGATCCCGTATGTTCGCATCAATTTCTGATGTGGAATGGTGCAGTCATCAACCATATGCGACTATAATCAGCTCTTCTAAACTTCCTCATTGGAAGTCGCGTAAAAAGCAGTGAGTTTTTCGAGAAGCTGTTGATCATGTGATTACTGTCGAGTTTTTAGTCTTTTTGTAAGTGTTATTGAAGCGTTTGGCCTAGTAGATTGTATATAAGTATACCCTTCCAGGCTCTGAAGAAGGCGATACTGCCAAAACGTCAGCTACTGTTATATTGTATTGTGTTTTTCTATAGAAGTAAATGTATGCTGTTTAAAAATCTCGCAACTGCTGAACAATTAAAAAATATAGTCACAATGCCTGGAAATTGCTGATGAGTATCCAACGTCGGTGTAGCGTCCATCCACCTATCGACGCCACTCAGGATGAGAAGAAAATCAATATTTGGATTCGAAAGCCCGTTTAAAATAACTTAATTCATGGCGTGAAGAGCTTGTAGAGCACACTTAACAAGCATATGAGAAAATAGTTACGAAGATCCCTTCGGTCTCCTTTCTTGGGCAGGATGATCGTGCGCGACGTCCTCTACTGGTCTGGGATTTTTCCCTTTCGAAGGTAGGCTGACAGATGACTTGTGAGAAGTAAATGTAAATTGTGGCCTCCAGCTCTAAGGAAGCCGGCGGTAATATTATCGGGTCCTGGAACTGTGCCTCTTTTCATGCTTTCTATCGCAATTCGAACCTCCGATGGAAGAATTTCAGGTAGTTTTTCTCCAGCGGGGATGTTAGAGCCCGAGACGGGGATTGTGGAACAGAAAAGGTTGGTGTAGAACGTTTCCGCTATTAATTCCATATCATGGCGGGAGTTTCTGACGATCCTATCTTCGTTCATCAGGGCTGACAGCGGAACATTATAATCACAAAAGTCCCGACGACATTTTTGCAGATTGCTTTTCTCTTTTTGCTGCTTCCACTAGCTTCTACTGCCTGCACCGATTCAGATCTTTCTGCAAAGCTATTCTGCGGCTGGCATTTATTATTAGCTGTGATAAATGTGTTGCAGTAAGATCAAGCTTCAGTTTCCTTCTTTTTTCGAGCAACTCTTTAGTGGTAGTAGAGATGCGATCCGATCTTCGTGCTTGAGGAACTGAGAAATATTCCGCACAGCTTTTCAGTCCTTCGACAAGCAGCTCGTAATCTTCGGGCGGGTCTTCTTTAATCTGCCAGTTACGTTTGGATAGGACTTCATTCAGAATGTTTTCGTCGCATAGAGCTAGATTATTTCCTCATGCTCGATGAAGAGAGTTCTTTTCCACCTTGCGGCTGAATCGAATTTTCGCACGAAGACGGTGATCGGAACTAGTACAGAGTGACGGGACCACCGATGTGTCAAGTAGGCACCATCTTCTGTTTATCAGTCTCCTGGTCGATCTCCTCATGAGTCATGCCGTTGGGCGACTCCCATGTCCAGCGGCGGCTTTCTTTCTTCTGGAAAAACGAGTTTCCATTGAAGAGATGTGCTGCTGACAAGAGTCTTGCGAGTCGGTTCTCATTCTCATTTCATTCTCCTAATCCAAAATTTCCGATCCTGCCTTCGTTGGCCTTTCCTATTCTGGCGTTGAAGTCTCCAACGACAAATTTATGATATGCTTTATCATTGCGGATAACTTTTTTCAACTGATAATAGAATGATTCATGCTCATTAACTGCATCGGTCGGTGAGTAGCAGTTGATGATAGTAATCTTCGTGTGATGCGACAGTTGAAGACGAAGGGCGGCTATGCGAGGGGAAAGGATCACGTGTGAGTCGACGAGATGGACAACGGACGGGTGGACGAAAAAGCCTACGTCACTGAAATTTCGTGACGGGACCTTTCTCCACGGATCACAAGGGTCCCATTGTTTAGTTGACGTACGTCGGTTTTCCTGAATTTTGTTTCTTGTAATGCGAGCACATGATATTCAATGCGATCCGCGGCTACAAGAAGGGCGTGAAGATCGGCGTCTGTGGAGAGTGTTCTTGCATTATAAGTGCATAGTAAGAAACCATTTCGATGGCGTGTCTTGCATGTGTTCATCAGATCCGGTTGCAATGACGTAATGCGTAACCCGAGATTTTCTGCCCTCTCACCGGTTGTCTTACCGCCTGACGTCACAGACGCGAAGACCCAGTGTGCGGGGTACCGAGGCTGGCCCATTATTGCTGGTAATACAGCTTGGTCCTCCCTCGAGTTCTGACGTAACCTTGCAAGGGCGTATCCATATCCTCCCGCGCATATCAAGGACATTGGATGAGGCGCAACCAGCCAAGCAAGTAGGATTTCGAACAGGATTTTGCTGCATGAACCACATCCAAACCGTGTCCAGGGTGATCGAAGTTTGTCGGGAATACCACTTGCCTCTAGTCCTAATGTTTGTCGGCTATGAAAAAGCGTTTGACAGTGTCGAAACGAATGCAATCCTATTAGCGCTCATCGACCAAGGAATGGACCCGTCCTAAATAAGGACTCTGTCCGACTGTTATCGGTACTGCACTACGAAAATGCAGTTTTCCATCGACCTCTTACAATACCTATAGGAAAAGGGGATCGACAGCGCGACACAACATCGCCAAAGCTATTCAGTGGCGCACCGCAGTGGATAATGAAGTCACTCGATTGGTATTGATGGAAAATTCCTATTAAACCTTCGTTTTACCGACGACATTATCATCTTCTCAAGAAGTACTAGCAAAGCAGAGGTGATGATCAACGAGCTCAACGAAGAGGAGAAAGAGATCGGACTTCGCATAAATCGAAAGAAGACCCAATTCATAAGAAAACCATGGCGCAAAGGCGAAAAATTGAATTCTATGGCTCTTCCATTGTAGAGACCACCTCGTACGTTTACCTTGGGCGATCAATTAACATGGAAAATAACATGAACGAGGAACTAAATAGAAGAAGGAGAGCAGCTTGGGTCCAATTCGGGTCTCTCAAAGAAACCACCGACTATGTGAAGGACCCGAAAATCTGCGCTCTTCGCTTTGATTCTACGGCCCAACCAGCGCTCTGTTATGCTGCAGAGATGTGGGTTGATACTTCAACTACGTCAAGAATGCTTCGAACTACTCATAGAGCGCTTGAG